GCTTCCCCAGTTCGGATCTGTGCCATAACTAACAGGACTTCCTAGACGCATGCTGCCACCGAAGGAGCTCCCGTACAGACAAGGATCCACACTGAATGTGACATTGTGGGCCCACAGACCAACTTCCTGCTTTGCCTCCCCCCTCCCATCTTCTTCCCCCTTCACAGTCAGTCACTGTTCTGAATCTGCATGTTTTCTATCATTTCCCCCTCAAGGGAGGGTGTTGTAAACGGTACATCTGATGTTGAGTCTTTCTGGTATGCTGCTTGTCAGAGCATGGTGGCATCAGCGACCCTTCCCATGCTGTGTTCCACCATCATTTTTTTTTTTAAGATTTTTATCTATTTATTTGACAGAGAGACACAGAAAGAGAAGGAACACAAGCAGAGAAGTGGGAGAGGGAGAAGCAGGCTTCCCACTGAGCAGGCAACCCAACGTGGGGCTCGATCCCAAAACCCAGGGATCATGACCTGAGCCGAAGGCAGATGCTTAACAACTGAGCCACCCAGGCGCCCCTGTGCTCCGCCGTCTTGTCCCCTGCCTTCTTCTCATCACTTTCTCTCTCAGATTCCTCCCTATCCACTCCTACGGGCACTCATACATCCCCCGATCTCAAAAACAAAAAACAAACCCCAAAAAGGCCCTCCCATCTACACTGCAAAGGCATTAATGGTCGTCTGTTTCCTTCCCTCCACTCTTAACTTCTTTGTGAAAATACTTTTCACTTCTGTCTCCAAATCTCACATTGCCCACTGCGTAATTTTTTATAATCTGTTTGCCACCAGCAACACGACCCCGTAGCTATCCTCCACCCCTAAGCTGGATGGGGCAGTCTCCTTGAATGCTTCCATATCTTGTTACTCTCCCCATCCTTAGGATTGTGCACCCAAGCATTCTTGGGCGGTGCTCAGTCTCCTTCCCCAACCCCCAGATGGACTGAATTGCTTGGGCCAGGCTCGGTCTTTAGCTGAGTCAGAATCACCGGGAGAGCTTGTTAAAACACTGAGCTCCACAAAAAAACATCAATTTTTATCCCACACCACCATATCTGATTGGGAAAATCTTGTTTTCAGGGTTGAGTTCTGTGAAAAATGTTGCATCCTAACATTTCCAGGATCCTGCCCTCCCCCGGGGTCTCTCATCACAATTGAAGCCCCTGTCCCTTTGGCCTGTCCTTTTCCTCACACCTGCGTTCTTTCCTAAGTCTCCTGTCATGATGGGGCGACCTTAGCGGTCACATGCACAGCCCGTGCCGCGGCAGGATCAGCAACACGGGAAGCCTGCTGGAAATGCAGATTCTCAGCCCCCAACCCCAACCCACTGGCCCAAAACCTGCATCTTAATAAAACCCGCAGGGATGTGTATGTGCCTTAAATGTTAAGAAGCACGTCTCTCTGGGATGAGAATGATCCCCTCCAGTTCTGCTTGGAGTGGAGACCGTCCCAGGCTCACAAGGGAGCTGGGAAGCGGGGACAACAATGCAGATTCCTGCCCCATAGCCCTGTTCCCTTCTGAGCCCCCAGGGAGCAGTGTGGGTGCTGCCCTCAGGCCGGTGGCAGGGGGCTGGCCACAAACATTCTCTAGGGGACTCAGGGCTGATCTCACTGCCTGGAGATTCCAGAGCCCACTCTGACTCCCTAGGCTTGGACCTCGGCTTTTCTGTCTTCTCAGCCCTAATGTTTTGCCACCAAATGGGGGCAGCTCTCCTGAGGACAACCGTGCCGCCGGTTTCCCGGCCCTCTTGTTGGGAAAATAGAGGAGAGTTTCTACCCACCTTTCCCATAGCCGCCTGCCCATCTCCGCGTGGATGCCATCCTAGCAAAAGCCGGATTCCTGCCCCTCTCTCGTCCTCCCCTTCCTTCCCGTCCTTCCACCGGCCAGACACCTCCGGCGGCCCTGGCTGTAATCACACCCGCGGCTGCCAGAGCTCACGGGGCCAAGGGGACAGGTGCCGCCAGGTCCTGTAAACGAGGGGAGCGCGCTCAGGCCCAACCAGAGAGAGCCCGCTTCGCCTGCGGGGGAAGCAGCTGAAGACTGCCCTTTGGAAATGCGGTCGTGATGTTGCCAAACTCATTTTTTTAATATGAGAGCTCCTACTTTCCTTGTGGCAAGAAATTTCTCACAACTTTTTTAAACTATGAGAGCCCATGTAAACCTGTCACCAGCTGTATCTGGCCTGTGCTCAGGAGCTGATTCTTTGACTTTGCCCTCCTCCCTTTCCCTGGTCTCTCCCCACCTCGCCTGCTCCCCACCTCCTGCTTCCTGTTCTTCCACGAGTCTGTGCACCAGAGCAAGTATAGTATCTGGAATCCCTCCTTCCCTCTCTTTGTGATGGAACCCACCTGATAACCGCCAAATTACTCTAAAATACTGCTCTAGTCATATAGCCCACCTTTCTATTCAAAGCCCTTTAGAGACTCCCCCGGCCTCCAGCTGTCAAATTATCTCCATCGGCATTCCTTTCCCCTCCGACCTCCCCGTTAGCCTGCTTTTGACTAGAGCTCTTAAGACTTGGACAAGCCTGGTGGTGGTTGTGGAGATGGGAAGAAATGGACAGGCTCAAGATGCATTTAAAAATTAAAGTCAGGGGCGCCTGGGTGGCTCAGTGGGTTAAGCTTCTGCCTTCGGCTCAGATCATGATCTCAGGGTCCTGGGATCGAGGCCCACATTGAACTCTCTGCTTGGCAGGGAGCCTGCTTCCTCCTCCTCTCTCTCTCTCTCTCTCTCTGCCTACTTGTGATCTCTGTCTGTCAAATAAATAAATAAAATCTTAAAAAATAATAAAATTAGTAATTGACTGATTGTATATAAAAATCAGGATTCTAGGGGCCCCTGGATGGCTCAGTCTGTGAGGTGCCTGACTTCTGTTTTTGGCTCAGGTCATGATCTCAGGGGGGTGAGATCAAGTCCCATATCCAGCTCAATGCCCAGTACAGAGACTGCTAGAGATCTCTCTCTCCCTCTCCCTCTGCCCCCTATTCCCACCCACACATTTGCTCTCCATCTCTCTCTTTAAATAAATAAAATCTTAAAAAAAAAAAAAAAAATGGGGATTCCTGTCAAAAAGTTAGCAGTGACAAATCCAGACCAAACTTCTATGTGGCAACTACCGGCTAGAGTTGAGTGTCAGCTGCCTCTTCAGATGCTGGGCATGCCGTTTACATCTTCATCTAGACCCACTAACAAACACAAGGCTTACGGATACTCTAGAAATGAATTTAAAATGGGAATGAAATATTCCTGTTGTCCTAGAACTCCACAGGTAACTGCAGAAAACAAGGTATAAAGTTAGCAGCACATATAAGCATCTCGTCTGCCCCTCACCCATACCCTCAGATATTTTCTTGTATTATTAGGCTTACTTGCTCACACCTTCACAAAATGTGAAGTACCCATCAGTTACATAATTCAGTTCCTGGCACGTAAACAAGACAAGACTTCATTGTTACAATTTCCAAATGACTCAGCTATAGCCATCCTCCTGTGCTGGATCTTCCATTGGCCTTCCAGATGCATCCATGTAGCACCCCTTTCCAGCTCGGAAACAGACCGACTTTAATTAACTACATCTGGATTCCAGTTGGGTTTGGCCAATGGTGGGCACCAGCTGGGTTTTGGAGGGACAGTGAGGCTGGCTGTCTCGTCTCCCAGACCTGTCCCTGCAGGGTTGTGGTAGGCTGGTTGGGTCCCGCTTCAAACGAAGGCAGCCCTTTCCTGAGTTCCAGAGGGAAGGCAGTGGCTGCTCCCTCCTCAGCCTCTGAGGGTACACAGCCCTCCTAGTGGTTGCCTGCACCTCTGGAATCTTGGTGAGAGTTCTCTCAAACTCTAATCTGAGGGTCTACCTATCTCTTGCCATAACCTGATGGTGTATGCCTCTAGTCTCACCCAATGTGTGCTAACCAAATGTGTGCAGGAAAAAATATCCTCGTAAGAATCATTTTCTACAATCAGAGTATTAGTATTTGGGAACATTCAGAAGCAGCAATTTAGATGTTTGCTTTTATGTCTTTAAGAATTTTAGAATTACATATTTTCTCTTTAAGCCGGAATCGCTTCTAAGTATTTAACCAAAATATGACATACACAATGTTTAACCTTGAAGGTTAAAAAGTGACCTAAAATTATGTATACCTAACCCTAGAAATAGCCCATTTTTTTATTATGAGCCTTCCATTTGATCTTTTGGTGTATTAGTGCCATCTGCTGGAACGTTAAGAAAATTAGGTTTTTCCAAATCCCAAAACGTGTACGAGTATAGGGCAGAGAGGGGAGAATAGTAGGGGGGTAAATGTACTCTTTAAATATGTAGTTGCTTGGGGTGCCTGGGTGGCTCAGTGGGTTAAAGCCTCTGCCTTCAGCTCAGGTCATGATCCCAGAGTCCTGGGATCAAGCCCTGCATCGGGCTCTCTGCTCAGCAGGGAGCCTGCTTCCTCCTCTCTCTGCCTGCCTCTCTGCCTACTTGTGATCTCTGTCTGTCAAATAAATAGATAAAATCTTTAAAAAAAAAATATGTAGTTACTTAACTTCCACATCATTATCAGTATAAACCCCAGTTAACTACAAAGCTCTACAATGAAGTTTAAAAATTAGAATAAAGAAAACCCTACATATTTCTTGCTCTTGATACATTTCTTGGTTTCTAAAATATTCCGCCATTCTGCTCTATGCATGAAACTCAACACGCCCCAACATGTCTCAACACTGCCTGGTTCTTTTACCACGACCCAGGACACTGATGTATATGTAAGAGACACGTGCAATATGTCTCGATCTAACATGCATTACGTATATACAAATGCAACGTGTACTTATTTTTAGCATCTCACGAAGTTTTGGTGGTAGAGTGAGGAGACAGATGCGGGATGGGGTCTTTCTAAAGTGCTTTTGCCACCTCCAAACAGCAACTGGAAGAGACACATATGGACAGTATGACCCAACCGTTCAAGGTTCTCATAAAAACTGCCACACGTATTCTAAATGATAATATAGAAACGTAAAAAGTTGCTTAACCGATTTTAATAACATGACATAAAGCCCCTACACTTGATAGAATCGTTATGCAAAATACATAGATGAATACTGTCTTCTCTTAAAAATATAAAATAAATAAGCAAGACGTGAAAATAGGCAAGTTTCCATTAAATAAATGAAAATTTTAAAAAAAGAAAGTTTTGCTTTCCATATCATTTGAAGAAGGGAAATTATCATTTTAAACAATATTCAAGTTTATTAAACAAATTAAAAAAAAAGTATTATAAAATGTTTAACTGTCATCAGCTTCGAGGTTTATGTTGCTCCCAAATTTTGCATATAACTGAACTTTCAGATCTGCTAACACTCGCTGAATTGATTCCACTCTGGCTTCTAAGGCGTCGATTTCTTCTTGCAAATTTTTCTGGGGGAAAAAAAAAATCGTTTAATTCTATTCAGTGCATGGTTTCTGAGCATCTGGGGATGAAATAATATTTGGGAAGAATTTTAGGTCAAACTTTCTAAACTTGGGACAGGCGGCTAAATAACAGTGATCATTAAATCTAAACCAAAAGTCTGAATGTGGCCATTTTTAATTCATGATTTATACTTGCTTATTATAGAATAAATCAAGCCCGTCGGTTTTTGCTGATTTATAAAACAAAATGGATAAGAGAAAATTAATTCCTAAATCATTACACCCTAATAAAGAAAGAACTTCTATACAAACTCTCCCGGTAAACAGTTTTATCATAGGCCTGGCTTCTAACAACTTCTTCCAACTTCCCACAAAAATAACTACAAAACTAGAAGAAACAATAAAAACTCACACGGCCACCAATAATTAAGAATAACAACTTATAGTCAGAATCTGGGAGAAATTTTCACAACCGCGAGGTCCCTGGAACTACTCTGAGAGGGAATGCTAACAAGGGCCTCGTTTGGGACACAGAACAGCGCTGCCCACGTGAAATGCAGGGAACGTCACAAGTTCCTTCCTGGCCAGGATCCAAAAAAGGATTTCTTGGGATGCCTGGTTGGCTCAGTTGGCTAAGCGTCTGCCTTCAGCACAGGTCATGATCTCAGGGTCCTGGGATGGAGTCCCACATCGGGCTCCTTGCTCAGCGGGCGCCTGCTTCTCCCTCTGCCTGCTGCTCCCCCTCTCACACACAAATAAATAAATAAAATTTTAGAAAAAAAAAAAAAAAGAAAAGAAAAGAAAGGATTTCTCCTAAACATGACCAAAAAAATATGAAGTTGCACAAATGGCATATCCATCAATATCAGGAAGAAGGCAAGAATGCCTAGCATTGACAGTGTTACTCTTAGAAATCGGGCTGACGAATCTCAAAAGTATGGCCCCCAGATTGCTTGGAAACTCATTAGAAACACAAATTCTGGGGCTGCACTCCAGGCCTCCTGGTTTGGAAATTCCTTGGAAATTTTCAACAAGCCCTCTGGGGGACTGTGATGCATGCTAAAGGCTTGAGAACCACAGCTATAAGTAACAGAAATAAGACGTATGACTATTAGAAAGGAGATAAAACTTCTCCGGTTCATGAGTGAAATTACAGCATGCCAAGAAAATGATCTTAAAAGCACAAGTGCTATCAGGTATCACTCGTTTCATCAAAGCTCCTGAAAGGCTCCTCTTCGCCTTAGGGCCGGGTGAGCAGATACTGCGGCCCACGGGCCAGCCCTAGCCTGATGCTTGCCCGTGCGGTCTTCCCGGAACATAGCCACAGGCATGCATTCACACGTCCTGCTTCCATGGCGATTGTGACCGAGCCCGGGGGTTCCCGAAGCCAGAGACAGCTGCTGTCTGGCCTGACGCAGAGCGCTTGCTGACCCCTGCAAAAGTCATCAATGTATCAACTCGACTGAGTTCTTCAAGGTGGGGCCACACTTTCAGATGCTCCCAAATCTGCAGCAAATTAGCACTTCACTTAGTTACGTTTGTGTGCCATGATCTTTTTACGACCATTTACACACGACCATTCCTGCCCCCCACCCCTGCACCGGTGCTGGCAAGCACCCACTTGCTGTAGAGTCGTCTCCTTCCTGGGGAGCCCCTCCTGCCCACGCATACTCCTCTGCTCTGTGTTCTTCCAGCACCTCTAGGCCCAACCACCTTCCATCTATTGCTAGTTATGCTTGCTGAAGTTCCTCTTTGCAATTACACCATCTACTCCCTGCAAGAAGGCACCAGGCCTATTTCGTTGTCCTCCCCGTGCCCTGGCTCATGGCAGACCCTGACAGAGTAAGCACTCAACAAATACTTCTGGAATGAATGAATGAATGAATGAATGAATAAAGCTTCACTAGCTGTGGCAGGGAGGGAAACGGGAGGGCGGCATGTCCACAGTTGTGACAAAAACCATAAACCAGCTTGAAATACTTCCCACAAGATAAAAAGAACAAAGATTAAAAAAGATTTAACAAAGGTTAAAAAAGAACAAAATTATAAAATTTTACTGTGGAAGAAAAGATTTAAACACAAGGGGAAGCACCAATGTTTCTGCATAGAAAGATTTAGGAGTAAAATTGTTAGTTCTTCCCACAGTTTATTAAATATAGGTTTAATTCAGGGGAATTTTTGCTTTCTATGACATTTGAAGAAGGAAGACTAACACTTTAAGTAACATCCAGATTAATTAAGCAAAGTGCAAAAGAATCAGAAAATGTTTGACTGCCATCAGCTTCTCATGCACAATGTGACTGTTCCTTTCATAGACAGTTGGAGGGCGTGTGAATTGGAAACTAATTTCACAGCATCCCTCAAATGCCTCATATGTTGTCAATAAACCCATACTCTGACCCAATAATGACACCTGTCTGATTATTTCCTTAAAAGAATTTCCTAAACGTGAAAAAGACTCGGGTGTAAGAATGCTCACTGCAACGTTCCTGTAGGAAGATACTAGAAACAAATTGATGTTAACAGGAGGCAGTGAACAGAATCGGTGTCCACCAGCATGACCTTCAACGATCGTCAAAAATGATGTTTTTAAAGCATGTGTGCTTGGTCCAGAGCAGGCCCCCGATACAGATTTGCTGGGCAAATGAACATTAAATAGAACAAGAAAGTACTTCTGGTGGGAGGCTAACTGACCAAAATGTGAAGCAAATCCAGAGAAAAGAGAAGGTGAAAACATAAAAGAACCAATGAGAATGTTCATTATGGATGATTACCTTGGGCAATGGGATTACAGGCGATTTTCCTTTTCTACCTTATAATATTCTATAGTTTCCGCACAGTTAGAGCATGGATTCTGGAGTCAAAAAGCCTCTCCCTCTCTGTCACCTTGGTAAGTCCCCTGACTTTTCTCAGCCTCTACCCCTCAATTCTAAATTGGGACGAACGGTCCGTGTCTCACAGAGCCCTTGTCAGGATTAGGTAAGATCATGCCTGCAAGGCTTTCCACACCACGCCTGGGACATTGTAAAAACCCATGGAGTATTATTACCTCGCACACATTACTTCCCTACACCTGGAATTAGCGGGTTCTTTATAAAATGTACACCCTAATGGGAGTGTTAGCCTCCCTCACCCAGCATACCTTTGCTTCTTCTAACATTTCCTGTGTTTCTTCTTGAGAATGGCTAATGAAAACATCACCAATTTGATAAGGTATCATTAAGCAATCATCATCTGCAAGCATGATGTCCTCACAAGCATCTTCTAAATTCTGGAGTTGTTTCTAGAAACACAAAGCAAACGGCAACGAAAAGCACACTCAAAACTCCCTGTTAGAGGCAGGAAGCCAATTTTTTAAAATTATTTTTATTAACCTATAAGGTATTATCTGCCCCAGGGGTACAGGTCTATGAATCATCAGGCTTACGCATCTCACCGCACTCACCATAGCACATACCCTCCCCAACGTCCATCACCCAGCCACCCTCTCCCTACTCCCCAAGCCCCCAGCAACCCTCAGTTTGTTTTGTGAGAATAAGAGTCTCTTATGGCTTGTCTCCCTCCCGATCCCATCTTGTTTCATTTTTTTCCAAGAAGCCAATTTAATCTGGGGACACCAACTCTATGAAAGACCCTTTCACAAAGTACCACCACACTAGTGTTAAGACTTTTTTACATTTCTAGATGGCGTTTCCTAAGGACGCGCTCAAGAGCTCACTCATTGTCCTCTAGCTACTTCCAGACTGCTACGAGCACCTGTGGGGGACAGCAGGCCGCTCAAAATGTCCTTCTCCCCTAACGGTTGCCACTTGGTGCATTCTGCTTTCCTAGGGTAGAACAGAAACAGAGCAAACCGCCGTTTCTCAGCCTTGCCCGATGCGGGGCTGAAAGCAGCTACGAACATAAATTCCACCCGTCAACCGCACTTGAACTGGACCTCAGCTCAGAGAGTCACACGAGGCGAGGCTGGGCACAGGCCTGACGTGCGAGCGGGCAGGGGCTGGGGTGGCCCCTGCCGGAGGTGGCAGCAGGCTCTGGGATCCCTGGAAACAAGAGCAGGTCCATCGCCAGCCCCGTTCTTGGAGATGCGGCTCTGGGGCCTGCTCCCGGAGCCCCAGCCCAGGCCCACCCCCTCAACAAGCTGTAAGTTCTCACACGGCCCTTCAACAAGGTCTTTTCTCTTTAACTAACTGGACTGGATTACGTCATCTGCAACAAAGAGCCCAGACAAACAAAATCACATATTACTGAATTCAGTTTTAAAAAGCTCTAGTATGGGGCAAATGGGTGGCCAAGTCCGTTAAGCCTCTGACTCTTGATTTCAGTTCAGGTCGTGATCCTGGGTTTGTGGGATCGAAACCCATATCGGGCTCCATGCCCAGCATGGAGCCCGCTTAGGATTCTCGCTCTCCCTCTGCCCCCCAACACCCCACTTGCATGCGTTCTCTGTCAAAAAAAGCTATAGTATAAAGACCTTTCCTTTTTCTTAAATAAGATGCACTTCTTTAGTACCTTTTTAACTTCTATTTCCTCCTTCAGCTCTGTGATTCTACTCGTGTTCCGTGCAAATTTGTTTATCTTTTGTTGATCTTCAAAAGTAACGTTGACATCTTCTGCAGCCTGAAAAAACATTTTAATTTTTTGCAGAATTAATTTTACTGGAAAAGTTATAGGTAAGGTTTTTCTCTGAAATAACTCAGTAAACTATTTGCCCTTATAGAGTCAAGAATCACAACAGGCACAGAAAATCACCAACACAGGCTTTGTAAGTTTTTGCCCCACAAGCTCAAGATTTGTTCATACATCCGCCATCTCTTCTGACAGTCTATGGAGTAACGCCTAAGCTACAAAAACACTTCAAATATAAACAATTAAGTCAGCCAACTTTAGCCTAGAGCAGAATTTCTTGAGTTAGAACATTCTTTCATCAAGATAACCCAGGGAGCAAAAATGACGTGGTAGTGAGTTCTGGTAAAAGCTTCATACCAGTTTCTGCTCTTAGAGTTAAAACCTGCATAAGCTTATTGAAGCCATCAGAAATCCGACAGTTTCTAATGTTTAACACAAATGATATACTGGCTAGAGGGTTGTTAACGCCCTTCAGTGGCTATATTCCACACATGGTAAAAATGATGTTTCTTTAATGTAGAACTTGTTACATGTCTTCATATAAGAATAAGGATAGTATATATAAGAATATATATAGTATATACAATATACAATAAAAGGATTAAAATCAAATGTTTAAAAATTTTAGTGATTAAATTTGTAAATTAGAGTACTTAGATGACATACAGTATCTATAAAATCATAAAATAAAATTTATTGAGCTCTTACTATGTATCAAGAACTTTCTAAGCACTTATCATCACTGTTACTCCTCCAATAAATCTTAGTAAGTAGGATCATTAGGAAGTAGCACCATTTTACACATGGAGAAAGTACAGCACAGAGAGGGTAAAGAATTTCCCCAAGGTCACACAGCCAGTAAGTGGTGGAATTCGATGTCCACCCAGGTAACCTGACGCAGGAGCCCAGACAGGTCCACCAGCTCTTAGACACTGAAGGTGAAAAAGCGTGTGGGCACGCAATCACACATATTTGTAAGAGTCAGCAGGAAATCCTTGGCTTTCATCAGTCTCAAAGGGGGACCATATACTTAAAAAAAAAAAAAATTAAATACCAGATTCTCCTTAGAGTTTCCCCTCGTTTATAAAATAAGAACAAGAGCACTTGATTATAATGTAAAGGAGAAAAGAGAAGCTTCAACAAACACTATTTTTGCTCTTTGCAATGATTTACAACAACCACGCCTCACCCCTTCACCTGATCGCTCATGACCAGTCCCATAAGAGGTGTACACTTTTATTTCTCCAGAGGTTGAAAGGCAACCTGTTGTGTCAATCATTCACTGGCACTCAGCGGACAGAACACCAAGCCAGACACCCAGAGCTCAGCCCTCCCCTGATCTGGGCTCTCAACACACAACAAACACTTAGACATGCATCAGGCTCAGCATCAGAGGTCCAGAGGACATCCTGAAAAAAATCCTTTACATCACGATACATATAGTTTTGAATGTTCAACCTTGTGCGTAATCTTTGTGAATCTAGAAGTTGGGAAACGCTGCGCTGCACCAGAGAAACCAAAGGCAAGTCCATATTCAGATATCCTGGCATTCCGGTGATTTTTGCCTAAGAACTAGCAATTTCTGAAGCAAACAGGAACAGAGAACTCTAGAGAGTTCCTGCTTGTCTGCAGAGTTTAAATACTGAGGCCCTGAAAACCTAAATATAGATTTATAGAAGCATTTGTCATCCTCAGGCTTGAACAGAGTAACTCCCATGAAAGCAAGTACCAGGAGGCTGGCCTGACACACAACAGAGACTAATATATTCTTCCTGAATTTGAATTAAATCCTGCTTGATCAGACTTACATACACACGTTTCTGAAAAGCTGTGGAGGAATTTGGCCACCTGTTCCTAACTTTCCAAAGCAGGCATTTCCTTTCCTAGCCTCACCGCACAGCACCCCCCGCGTGTACTTGGGACCCGGAGTCTGTTTCCTTAACGGTGGTTTTCTCGCTGGGGATTACAGGCTACGGTCGGCGTGTGAAGTCCGTGGCTAAATGTGTGCCACGCAGGACGGTTCTGTTTAGAGCAGAAAGTGAGAAGTCAGCACCTTCCATGACTAACGCCAGTGGCTTCTGTTTTCCACTCACTGTTCTGGAACACTCCTACACTGTATGAAGCTTCATTTCGGCGGGGAGGGGCTAGTTCTTTTTGTTTTTTTTTTTTCCCCAAAGATTTTATTTATTTATTTGACAGACAGAGATCACAAGTAGGCAGAAAAGCAGGCAGAGGGGGATGGGGAAGCAGGCTCCCCGCCAAGCAGAGTGCCCGATGTAGGGCTCGATCCCAGGACCCTGGGATCATGCCCTGAGCCGAAGGCAGAAGCTTACCCCACTGAGCCACCCAGGTGCCCCGGGCTAGTTCTTAACTGGGGATGCGCAGACACTGAAAGTCCCTTTACCCACTGAACGTGTGTGCAGCCTGGCATGTCTTGTGTGTAGTTCCTCTGGAAGGGTCTTCACAGTTTTTCTCAGATTCTCAAGGGGATCTACACCCCAAAGGTTAGGGACTCTTGTGTTAAGAGAAGCCAGATGTACTCACAGCTGCTCACAAAGTCACGAGAACTCAAAGAGGAAGGAGGGGTGTGTGTGTGTGTGTGTGTGTGTTTCTTTCCTGACGCAGCACAGAGTGGTTGAAATAGTACTGGATTCACATCCAAGCAAGCAGGAACTTGGACAAATTATTCAATTTTTTCTCAGGTTTATTACTTGTAAAATGGGGGCGATAGTTCATCCCACGTTGCAGGGGAGATGAAATGAGGACTCGAGGATGGAGTCACCTTTCAGTCACTGAGAGCTAAGTGCTTTCTTTCCTGAGCAATGTTTACCAAAAAGTCATTACAGACGAAGAACAAAGATCTAAGAGAAAATTCTGCTAGGCCAGGGAGAAATATAACTGCTCAAGATTCAAAGTGGAAATTAAAATTCCCTGGACCCCGACTGTACCCTTTTCTTCAGACTCAGCATCTTACAGGATTCTAAGAGGAAAGCGAACCACACTCAGTCTTGCCCCACTGGGTCTTGGCTATTACCAGCAGAATGTGGACTGACAGCGGAGTCCATCAGTGTATTAAAAGCCTAGAAGGAGATTCAGGCCAATTTCAGTCTGTCTTTATTTTTGTTTTTTGAAGATGTCTGCCAAGTCTCCATGATATGAAATTCTGCTTTGTATTTTTATTCACTTTTCACGCCCACAGTACAGTCATTCACTTAACAACTACTTGGTAAACGTCCCCCGTATTCCAGAGAGCTGCTGCGACAGGCCAACCTTCACGAAGACCTGGCAGCGTACATTCTAGAGAAGGGGGTGGGCAAAAGACAAGGTGAAAAAGATGATACACGTGATAAGGAAAGCAAAATAGTATAAGGGTCGCAAACACTGGCAGATAAGGAGTGAAGGGGGCTTCCTAGATAGAGGGGGTCAAAGATGGCCTCTCCGGGGAGGGACCTTTGTACTCAGGATCAGGGACAGAATCAAACACAGTCCTCTGCTGGCCAGGAACCAATCCTTGGAAAGCAAACCTTTGGAGAGGAGAGGACTGAACCACCTCACCTACACATTCTCACCAGAAAAGCCATGACCCACTGGGACGTAAATGTGTTACAAACGCGAAGTACTCCAAATTGCAAACGGTTTTTATTAAACTCAAAAGGCTATCCCCATAATTCATGCTCACTCACTGACATGCCTGTTTGCTCCCAGGGCAGGCAGAGGGCCAGAGTGTATGTGCAGTTAACCCATCAGAAATCGTGCACAGCACTGGAAAACACCTGCAGGAGGCTGGTGCCTCTCTCATGTCAATGTCTTACTAAGATAAGGAAGAAAATTCTCGGGCTCTGGCTGCCACCCACCCCTCAATATGTTCATTTACTATCTTGGCTCAACCTCCCCGGATTCTCCGCCGGTCTGGCCACCCTTTCTTTAAACACCCAGGGTCTCTGTAGGTGATCCTCCCCCTCTCGAATGCCTCCTCCCTTTCCAACGTTCCCGTCCCCTCCTTAGGTCATCATATAGATCACACCTTCTCACGAACGCGTTCTCTGGTCACCAAACAGACCTTAATCCAGCCCTCACGTCACAAGTCCTTTTTTCATAGTTCTTAGCAGAGCTGGAAATTCTAGTTTTCTGTGTGACTATCGAGTAATACTTGCCTCTTCCCCAGAACTTTAAGTTCCCCAACGCTATGAGGATAAGGGGTAGAAGCATTATTATTGCTCACCACGGCTCATCACCTAAATCTGAAATTGTGCCACGGTACATGCTCAAGAAGTTTGCCTAGTGAATGAAAATACGTTGGTAATCAAAAGTTTTGCCAAGTCCAAGGTTCAAATCGTTTCTCTACCATTCCCTCAACCTTTACTTCATCTCTCCGCACTTCTGTCTGCATACCTGTCAAACTGGGGGCGGGGGGGGGGGGGGTCCAACTAGTCCCATCTACTGAATGAAACACCATCACTCACAAAGGGCCCAATTTAAATACAAAAGAGAGAGGTGGGGTGAATCTCACCCAGTTTCATACTCATCTGAATCCCCTTAACCCCGAGCCCTACCCCAGTACTCAATAGGAATTTGTAGATGACAGACCAATGGCGTGAGCACATCACCCTGATTTGCTCACGTTATTGCCAGGAACCAGTCCCGGTTTTCGCACCCTACAACAGAAGTAGGGGGCTCAAACTATGCAAAGTGCTGAGTAGGAGAGCCGCGAACTTGAAGCTGAAAGCAAGTCCCTCTGGGCAGGGGGCTCTTTGTCAGACCTGCTCCAAGTTAAAAACACAGGCTCTAGAGTCAGAAAGGGTGTGCCCACTTTAAACCTAACTTTGCCTGTGTACTTCCATCGTCTCATCTGTAAAATAAGGATGAAAGCAGTTTCGGGGTGTAAGACTAACACAGGCACACAACTCTGGTAGACCCGTACCTACCCAGCACACAAGAAAAAGAAAAGCCTCGGTTACTACCAGATGCTATTAGTCCCTTGCCCCTCCACCATTTTGCTTTTCTTCTCTCCAGGTATTTTTAAGCACCTGTGCAGACCCGGTGAGTTATAAGCTGTCCACAGGAGTTCAGCCTGCTTGGTAGGATAAAAGGTGGGCTTTGGGAAAAACAAAATTAAAACCTGAGTTTGAACTCCAGCTCTGCTATTAGCTGAGTCATTTTGAGGCCACCAACCGCTCTGTTAAGTTTCTCCATCTGTAAAGTGGGAGGAAACCGCGTCTCTGCTAAGTCGCCGGGAGCTCAGAGAGAACAAGCAGACGGCTTCTCGGCCCTGACCCGTCATCTTCCCTCAGTACAGAGAGTTGCCGTCTGGAAGCAGAGGGACATCGAGTGTGGATGTGGGCGGCTCAGAGCTGGACACCAGGGCTCCGAGGCCAAATAACTTGGGGATGCTGTGCTCCTTACAGCTGTGTGACCTTGGGCAGGTGACTCCACCTCTCTGGGCCTCTGCTTCCTCATTTGCAAAGCACGGAGGCAGCAGCACCCCTGCTTGTCGACTTGCGAGGTTAAATGACAAGCCAGGGAAAATGCAGCCCATGGGACCTTCGGCTTCTCACACCGCAACGACAGGGCCTGAGCCGCGGGGTCCTCAGGCTCTCCACGGCCGTCTTCAGCACCGCGAGAGGCGACCCAGAGGTCCCCGAGGGTCCCGGCCCGCGTGCCCCGCCTCGGCGGGCCGGGGGCCTGAGAAGACGTCCAGGGAGCAGGGCGCGGGGAGGCCTCGCCGCGGGGCCGCCCTGAGGGCCGGCGGCCTCGGCCCCCGCCCCCACGCCGGGCTTCAGAGCCGCACACCCCAGGCAGCCCACGCCCGGCCCCCGGCTGCCGACCCCCGCCCGCTAGCCGAGCATCCCGCACCCGGAGCGCCCCACTCACCGCCTTCTTCATGGTGGCCGCCATCTTGGGACTGGACTACGGCGCGCGGCGGGGAGGGCCGCGAGGGCGCGCTCGGGCCCAGGGCCGTCCGTCGCTCCCTGTGGGCCCAGACCGCCCCCCCGCATACGACCCTGTCTCCATATCCCTTCCTACTGCATCTTCGACCCGTGATTCTTAACGGTCGGGACTCAGGGAGGAAATATGTCCTGGAAGGACTTGGTACATGCCAATTAAAGGCACAGGCAACGCCCTGTGGGCCGACAGAAAGTGGGGGGTGTGGCGAACTGCCCCAGGGTCCCGCGGCGGACAGCAGGGGGCGCCCCGCGCAGCGAGGCGGGGGCACGAGTGCACGGAAGGGAAGTTCTCTTTCATCAGTTCCACGAACTTTGTAAGAAATCGGCATAAAAAAAAATGCCTTGGCTCTAGGATGTGAGATGTATGTGCCCTGCTAATTCTCTGATAATATAAAGGAGGACGTACTCCTGTTAATTTATTCACCAGTGTTTACTGAGTAATTTACCCTATGCCCCGACACTTGTGCCTCCCCAGTTTTTTCCTTTTCCTGTGTGTGTGTGTGTGTGTGTGTGTGTGTGTGTCTGTGTGTCTGTGTGTCTGTGTGGACTCCTTTACACTCTTAACAAGTATTGAAGACTTCAAAGATCTTCCGTTTACGTAGGTTATATTCATCGATATTTCTCATTTTAGAAATTAAAACTGAGAATTTTAAAAAATATTAATTCACTTAATAAATAAACCCATTCCATGTTAATATAAGTAACATCTTAAATTATATGAAATCTTTGGAAACTGGCATGGATTTCTGAAAACAAGGAAGAGGAAGAAGGATGTAAGTGTTGGGCCAGCATCCAACAGTGGGTTTTTTTGGTACAAGGGGCTCTGGGTGGTGTGGCTGTTCACGGAGACAGTCTCATAGCCTGGGAGAGTGTCGATCGATCTGGACAGATGCACAGACAGTGGGCTGACTTCTGGCCACCGTGGTACGGGCTCTTCTCCTGACTCTGCATCTCACCATCTCTATCCTCTCCCCGTACCCTCCTCAGCCCTGGTGTCCTTTGCGCTGATCTATTTCCCAGCAGGAGAACCAGTTCTATAAGTACAAATGGAGTCTTTCATGACTTCCATTAAGCATCCTCTCCTTTCCTTAAATTTGAACATTCCCAACCTCGCTTCTGTTTTTTTTCCTACCTGTCTGGACCAATAAAAGAAAGAAGGTTGTGGTACCAATGGAAACCATTGGAGACTGCAGGTCAGGAAGGAAAATCAGCAGTCACCTCTTAAGAATACGATCCCCACTCAAGGTGACTGAACACATCCCCTAACACCAAGCTGAAAACCGGCCATCCATTGGCTGGATCCATAATATGGTGTTTTGGGCTTTTTTTGTCTGTTTGGGGTTTTTTTGACCCACACTGTATTTTTCTTTAATTGAACGAACATATGAAAATTAGGAGATTGTACTCAACAATATCAGATTTTTCCTTCTGCTTAAGTTTGTAAAACCAACGTCCTGGTGTCCGTGAGTGTACGTACATTCCTGAATGACAGCTGTTGCTGGCGATGATTAGGGAAGACCTATCGAGCTCATAGGCCCTCTCCGGGGCCCCTACAAACCCCCACCTGCCTCATCCTTGTGCTTACCTGTCAGGCCCTCCGGGTATATGCACTTGTCACCAGCCAGGCTTCTGTTCTAGCAGATCTAAATGGGTTTTTTGTGTGTACATGTGTTTATTAGAACTCTGTACCATGCTAGATGCCATTGCAGAAAGAAAGAGGAATCAGGCAAGTGGCAAGTGCTTCCCATCCAGAAGCTTACAGTTGGCACACACATATATCACCACAGATTACATCACCTGGAGCTGCAGCCCTAGGACCAGGGCTGAGGGGCACTAGGGAGCAAGAGCTTGTGTCTGGCTGGAGTAGCCAGTGAAGACGCTGGAACTGGTGACAGGCTGAATGGATCAGGAAGGGCAGCTGCTGGGATGCCTGGGTGGTACAGTTGCTTAAGTGTCCAACTCTCAGTTCTGGCTCAGGTCCTAATCTCAAGGATGTGAGACTGAGCCCTGTGTTGGGCTCTGTGCTCAGTGTGGAGTCTGCTTGGATTCCCTCTGTCCCTGCCCCTCTGCTTTCACTCTCTCTCTCTCTCCCTCTATCCCTAAAATAATTCAATAAACCTTTAAAAAAGGGGGGAGCAGGTGCTGAAAAAAAAATAGACAAAAGTCCTTATTGTCATGCAGGATACATTCTAGTGATGGGAGACAGACCATAATCAAAACACAGAAATGATTTATACAGTATGTCAGAAAGTGTTATTACTGTGTTATTAATAATTATATGAATGAACACTTAAGATAACATTAACACAAGACTGTGTAACTACCCGTATGAAAACTTCATGAGGAAGATACAAGGAAAGAAATGGTAAGCATGTTGACTGGAAAATTGAGGGGAAAAACCCCTGTCACCCATCTATTTGGATTGACATGTAAGCTAAAAAAATTCTACGACATGTCCTGGTTTAAGATTCTGTCACCAAAAAAAAAAAAAAAAAAAAAAAAGGATTCTGTCACAGAGCAATGATGGGTCCATTTCATAGCAGTACGTGCCTGAGTGCCCTCCAAAATCCGCACCCTCCGGGCCAGGCTCCTGGTTCTGAGGCTGAAACAGGAAGCCTTGATGGGCTTACCCTCCCACGTAGGATGGCCAGAAGGAGTAAAGGGCAACAAGGAGCCAACCCTATTATCACGTGGTAATTTGTTGCGGGCCTGCAGGGGGCGCCCAAGGGTCGTGTTAGTGCCGCCGTTCGAGGCAATGTGCGTACGTTTTGCCAAAATAGGTACAGGACTATTATTTTCTTAATTTTTTAAAATGTAATCTACTTTTAAAATTTAGAATAAATATATTTTAAAGGACATTTAAAAAAATCTCTGTCTTCAAGTGAAAACGAGTCTCACTCGCTGTAGGAGCAGATCTTCAGTAAATTAAATCTCACCCCTGGGATGGGCCTTGAGAAGTTGTTTCAGCTGAGAGTCGATCCAAGGGGGAAGGTAACAGGCAAAAAGGGAGCAGGACCAGGTGCCGCACCTGAGGGCCTTCCTTACATGTCCGTCTCTGGCCACTCGTCTGCTTGACCCTCCTGCCAGAGCAGTTGGGGAGGCGGGGAGTGAAGAGCAACTTTCAATATGGAATAAAGGTCGTTAATCACGGTTTACTTCAAGAAACAGAAGAAAAGGTTTGGACAGGAAAGAGAAGGAGGAGAAGGGCAAGAGATGAAGTTGGGGACAGCTGACACAAATCCTCACCTCCAACCAACTGTGGACAGGAGGGAATAGAGACCCAAGGCCCACTTCCCCTTTTTTACAAAAAGCCAGAAATCTGGATTTTTAAAAAAATCTGAAGTCTCTTGTTGTTGAAATCATCCCTCAAAACTTCACATATGCCAGACAGATGGAGAGCACAGGCCACCCACTCATTTGTGACCTCCAGTAAACCTCCCCATATGTACATATTATAGAACATTCTTACTACCAAATTTTTCTCCTAAATGAAAGCATAAAAAAAAAAAACTCTAGGTTTACTGAAATCAAAACCTGATACAAATTAGGAACTCTATCTCTTACTGAAAAATTTCATCCCTAAGCTGTCTGATTACTTTCTCTTCTTGTCACCTCCTTCTCACACTTGCACCGTGGTCCCCAGAATTTCCTCTATGTCCCTTCATGAATAACTCTTGACGTCTAGTGCTGCCTTTAAATCTAACTCAAGATTTACTCCATGCTCTAAAGACTTCCTTGGTTCTCATTAATCTGTTCCATCTTTAAATTCTGCACTTGCCCCATAATTTGGTACTTTTTAAAGCCTCTACTGTATATGCCTTACCATCTCTTTCTTGAACTTTTTTTTAAATATTCTTACTGCGATGGGTAATGTAAAGTAGTGTGAGTTTATATATGGCTCACTGATTTTATAAATGGTTTTGTCATGCCCGCCTTTGGAATTCTTCTGTGTCTTCCTGTTACACTTAAGGAATAATTTAGATTTCTTACCAAGGCCTAGCCTCCATCTCTGACATCATTTCAAACCATCCTACCCCTCAATATGCTCCATCTTCTTAAGTGTCCATTTGTGAATGATATGTGCTCCTTTCTGCCTCAGGGCCTTTGCACGTGCCTATCTTGCTATTCAAGATGCCCTTATCCTGTTATTCATCTGGCTAAATTCTGCCCTTCCTCAACACTCAGCCTCTGTGTCCCTCCGTCAAGAAATCTTTCTTCAACACATCCACCACCCAAAAAAAAGCAGCACCCCCCCCCCCGTTATAAACCCCTCTAGCACATTTTCTTTTGAAATATGTTTCTTCATCTCTGTAATCACAGCAGCAAGAGGGGGAGTAGAAGATTGACAGATACTAATGACTAAAAGTGTGAACAAATGAGTGTGTAATTAGAGATTAATACTGTAATATGTAAAACAATATAGCTGTTGATAAATTAACTCAGCAACAGTACAAGAGTCTGTAGTGTATTTCCGTTCACTGTGTGCGTGTGCGTGTGTGTTGCATGCACGCTAGATCTAGCACTAAGGTCTCGCACAGCGGTCACGTGGATTTATGGCCGGAGCAAGCCTTCCCTTCTCCACCAGGTGGCACCATGACTCCAGGACCCGACGTCCTCTCTTTCCTTTTTGCAACCCTTCAGGAACAGTCCACACTCTTGTCTACACTCTGCAAAGAAAGATTAAACAAAATCAAGGAAACCTCTCTTCGGGACAAAATATAATCATCTCTCACTAGTAGGAATTCTTACTTTAATTTTTACCTGGCAAAAAGCAAAGCATTTCCCCAGAGCCCTCGATCGTAGGCGTTGGGTTTAGGCCTTTATAAAACAGACCATTAACTAGCCTGTTGATTTCAAGGGTGCGTGCTTACAGCAATTCTGATATGGAGAAACGAGTCAGAACTTATTATAAGTAACAGTCACAACATATCTTCAAATTAAAATATAAGTTCCCTGGTGTGACTCATTCAACAAGAAC